GGACACACACAGACACACACACACACACACACACACAGACACACACAGACAAGCTGTTAGACAAAACTGCACATCTGGACAAGTTAGCTCTGATCATTATTCTCCACTGAGAGAAACATTTTCAAAGCTTTTTCTGGTGTTTTCTCCAGTGACTTTTATCCTTCCTGACTCTGAGCGTCTCCGGTAAACCGGCACAGAAGCCGTTCTAATTCCCTCCCTTCTTTTCTGAGGACCGTTAATCGAGCGTTTCAGAGGATCAGATCTTGACTCACCGAGTCCTTTCTGCGGGGCCGGGGAGCGGAACTCCGTCAGGTACTGGATGTATGGCTTTTCTGTGGTCATTTCAAAGTAGCGGATATTTCCATCCCCCTGCAAAAGACTTACATTATAAACCGGGTTTTTTTTTTTTAACTTGGGGACTACCCCCCCATTGGGAGGAAGTTGCTTAGAAAATGAATGGATGGACTCATGTAATGTACATTAAGAGCTTATATTTCTTCTTCTACTTTGTCTAAAACCTAAATGAACTGACCAGTCAAAGGCATAAGCTGTAAGTAATCATGTAGCTGTAGGCAATGTAATATTGTGTCTACTTTGTAAGTCGCTTTGGATAAAAGTGTCTGCCAAATGCATAAACATAAACATAATAATTTGATTATTTGACTATAAGCTGTGAATCCATGTATGTTTTTTACAAACACAGCAAACTTATATAGTAAAATTACCATTAATATTAGGTATGGATTGCTGTTCTGTTGTCAAATAAAGAAATCTTATTAGTTCTTATATTTGTATTTGTATTTTATTTGTATTTTTGGACTTTTAAACCAATATAAATCTGTAAAAGCTGTCCCTTTTTGTATATTTTATTCAGCATCCATCTTTTTTCAATTGGAATTATTGAATTTTTCTTCATATTAATGAAAGCGAGATGCATATTTGTGCTGCAAACTGAGTTGAGACGCTCATGAGGTCCAGTACCGGCTCTCACCTTTCCTGCCAGGTACAGCATGTGTGTGTCAGCGTCGTAGAAGGGAAACAGCAGCCCCGACAGGCCGTCGATGTCCTCCTCCACGATCGGCATCGACAGATCCTCCTGGAAAGAGCAACGCATGCAGGGAGTTAAAGCAGAAGGAGCTCAGCTAAACAGCGAGAGAGGAGAATCACACAGATGCGTTCACTGACCTGATCCCAGAGAGCGATTTGCCGGGTGTTCCAGCGAGAAACCCCCGTGGTGACCAGTCGCTTCAGGTTGCCCAGGAAAACCACGCGGTTCACTCGGTGGTTCTTGCAACTGGCGTGCTGGTGAGACAATATTAATATTGAGTATGACCTAACCCTAACCCTAACCCTAACCCTAACCCTAACCCTAAAGTCGCTTTGGATAAAAGCGTCTGCCAAATGCATAAACATAAACATAAACATGATACTGCTGTGGTAAACGTTACTATTCTTGTTTTTAACGGCATTTACGGTAAATAAAACATAATATGGTCTTTTACAAATGTCAAAAAGCAGTGTCAGCTGGATATATTGAGGGTTGAAATACATAAAATGTTTTGCATTTTCAATCAAATATTCCTGCAATGCATCTTTCCTGGTTTTAATAAAGCCACTTTTCGTGGCATATCCTCTTTTTTATATCATCAAATTGCTAAATAGGCACTGGATGATGGAATACTAATATTGTCTGCTCATAGACAGTTTCATGCTGATTTCAGCTGAGACTCTGCCTCTCTGAGGTGCTCTTTTTATGTCCAATCAAGCTGCTGGCCTGTTACTAAATAATCAAGCTAATTGCAATTTTTTTTCTTTGCTCAATTAAAGAAATAGAAAATTCTGCTTTTATTCACAGTTCCTAAGTTATATTTTATTTGGCATCAAAAAGATCTGGACACAGAGGTGAATAGAATAATTCAATCAATACATGTAAAAAAGATTTTGTTTTGGTCAACATCTTAAACATCTGATTCTTAAGGCTTTCTATTCAAAAGAAGAATCCATCAGTATGGTTTAACTTATTTAAATAAATAAAAAAGAAATTTACTATACTGAGGTATAATTCATTAACACTGAAAGATATTATACTAAAATGTCTTCAAATGGAACTAAATTTCTGTTATAATAAGGGCTCTTTGGATTGAACCAATGCTGATCTCTTAGGTTTCATACAGCAGGTATTTCAGGATCTTTTAAAATATAGAATCCCTTTTACTCAGCCAAATCCCGTGAAATAAATCCACCACCACTTCCTGACCTGGAGGACTCTCCCGGAGCGCGGCTCGATGACCCGCAGCTTCTTGTCCTTGCAGCTGGTGGCCAGCAGGCTCCCGTCCGTGTTGAAGGACATGCTGAGGATGACGTCGGTGTGGCAGTCGATCATCTTCACCGGCTCCCCGATCTCCAGGTTCCAGATCAGGATCTGGCACACGGGAGGGAACGTTTTTAAGTGGAGCCGGTAGGTTTCAAACAGGCTTTCATCAGCCATCTGATATCATCAGCTTGTGAATGCGTGGAT